GCACCGAGCCGCGGCCGCGAGCGGGGCCGGCACCATGACGGAGACCACCAAGACGCACGTTATCCTGCTGGCCTGCGGCAGCTTCAACCCCATCACCAAGGGCCACATCCAGATGTTCGGTGAGCGCGGCGGGGCGCGCGCCGCGGCCGCGGGGCCGCTGTCCGCGGTGCTGAAGCGGCCCGAGGGGCGGGGGCGCCACGCGGGGCAGCTCCGCGGCGCTTTCCACGCTCCCAGAGGATGGGGGAAACAATAACAATAATATATTAATTAAAAAAAAAAAACGCACCGGGGATGCCCGGCGTTACCGGTGGCGATGGGAGCCCCATGGCTGGACCGGCGTCGCCGACATGTCCCCACGGCTCATGGCGTTGGCTTTGGTGGCCGAGGAGCCGCATCCGGGCAGCGCCTCCGCTGCGGCGGGGCCGGCGGGAGCGCGGTGTGGTCGCTGCGCTGGCCGAGGAAAATGGCAGGAGGAGGGTGGGCTCCTGCGGCGCCTCTGCCACCGCGCAGGGCAAGGAAGCGCCCGGGAGGCCGGGGGGAAAGGTCCCTCCGGGGAGCGGCTGCCRGAGGCTCGTGGTGCAGCCGGAGAAGCATCCCGAGGGATTCCAGAAGTTGTGGCTAAGTTCCTAAACGGGGAGAAAAAAAAAAAAAAAAATCCTATCAGCAGGAGGTGTTTCTGTGTCACACCTTGTTTTCATAGCCTGTAATGAGATGGTCCCTGGCTGACAAATGAAGGTTYTCTAGATGCAAATGATCTCATTGCAATTTCAATTTGTGAGAGAACAATGTGGTTGTAGACAATGGTATGCTTGAATTATTGAATCAAAACAGTCCTATCCTCTAAGCTAAAAGCAGGAGTTCTGAGYAAGAAAAGAATGAGAGGAATTATTTAAAAATCAAAGATTAGCTCAATGAAATCACAGTCCTGGCTGACAGAGGTAACTACTAATGAAACAGACTCCTGTAATTCAAGTTATTTCAAAATATTTTGCTTAAGTAGCGCTCTAAGACAATCAAGGCAGCGACCACTCGGGGGCCTACAGCCAGTGGCATCCCGTGCTCCCGCGAGCGCCGACCGGCCAGGCGTTGGTCTGCAGCGGCGCTGGGGTACGAGCCGCTCCGCCGCTGCCTCGGCTGCTCGTGCTTTTATCAGCGACCTGGAGGAGAATTTACTGCTGGTACMATGTGCCGGAGCGCGGAGGAAAGCAGTTTATGGCGGTCAGCAGGCAGCTGCAGCGGCTGCCGCGGGCTGCTTGATTAAAGGCGTCTTGTTCAAGCAGTCAGAGGAGAAATGGTGGCCAGCAGCAGAGCGGGCCTGTCGCGCAGAGCGGAACCAAAGCGCTGCGAAGGAGCGGGGTCTGGGGCACCGAATACACCCCCCAGGACCACGCTGTAGATAAGGGGGCAAGCACCATCCTCGGTGTGCGAGCAGGGAGCATCCGGGGAAGAAGAAAGGTTGCATTGTTTTTATACCCGGCATTAGCAAAACCCTTTCTGGAATAGCAGGAATGAGGATTACATTAGCTCCGGAAGCCAGCCTTGCACGGCGAGAGGTGAAGGAAGCGCAGTGTGGACCCACAAAAGGCGTCTAGAACGACGTGGTCAGGGCCTACAAGGACCTGCTGCAGGAGAAGGGGGCTCTTTTATCCACAGAGGAGAGGAGAAGCCATAAGGAGATCAGGATCCTTCAGGCCAGGAAGGGCCTCTGTATTTCTGAGTGGAGCCAATCTACTAGGAAAACGTCATTTTTAGGTGCCTGCTGGATTCCCCAGCATCTGAAGACTTTAAATGAAGACTCAGACATGAGAAAATCATGTTCTAGCTTAAAGAGGATGTTCTGGTGCAGAAATTATATATCCTCATATATCCTGCAGAGATGTTGGGATATACATCTCGAGATATCTGACAGGGACAAATGATTCTTCTGCAAGGAAAGGATGCAGAAATTAGCCTTTAAATCCCTGCTCATTTTTATTTAAGGGAGCCCCACCCCACCCTGGCRGGCAGGAGAACCTGGACCAACGGTGCGATACTGGCTCCGCTCCGCGCTGCGCRAGCCCAGGAACCAAAGAGGCCTCCTGTCCACAAAGGCAGCATTTGAAACGGCTGAACCCAGCAGCGCTACTCTCTTTATCTCTCCAACAAATACGTGGGCTTCATAGGAACTTTTGCTTTAACATAGAGATTACAGTCCTTAATTTAATACATGACACTGGATAAGCAAAGGAGGAAGTTCAGGGCAGTTGCAYTCAGGTGCCATCACCAACATACCGATGTGCCAAGGGTCGTTTTTCTGTTTGGATCTTGTCATATTTTATTCAGGCCAAATCCCGACCTACACCCGTCAGAGATTAGTATAACTCAAATAAGATTATGATTTGGAAGCCCTTCCTAGTGGACAGAAGGATTCTGATGAGAAATTTTTTTTCAACAGTCATGTGAATTCAATAGCAGGTTTCAGGATTGCTCCCGGCTTTCCAGAAAGCTGGGCTGTGTTGCAACCCCAGGCTCCCCTCTGGACACTTGCATCCATGTGGAGCCCCATTTTCTCCAGCTGTTGTTCATGACAAGCCTGCGATACCTATGCTCTAGGAGTCTGATTCATGTCTCTGTGTATGCATAATATATATAAAATATTTATATATAAAAAGACATAATAGAAATGCAGGTGGGATGATGTGCTATAGAGTCACCCACAAGAAGGAGCTGAGGTATCGTCTGCACAGCCCTGAAAACTGCCCTGAGCTATGTCAAGTGTCGGGGGAGCTCCAAGCTGTCCACTTGGCCTGCTTGGCCAGCGTCGAGCTGAATCTGCTGTACTTCCCAGGAAGGCAAGTTTAGGATGTTGATGTGGAGGGGAAAGGGGAGAAAGAAGTAGAGGAGAGAGGAGGTTTATAGGGACAGAGCCAAGAGGGGCTCACGGGGGGTGACATTGACCACCCTGGTGGATCTGTCGCTGCTGGGATTTGCCAGCTACAGAGTCTCCACCTCTGTCCTGGCCTCTCCGTGCTTCATCCACTGCCTCTTCCTCATTCAAGCAGGGCAACCCAAGGGACAAAGCCAATGTCAAAGCAAAGTCCCATGCACGCAGCTCCGCCAACRTGGTGCAGCCTGCACTGGCACTCTTTCAGCCCATGATCCCGCCTTTCCTCAGGCTATTCCGTCCTTTCCCTGACTTGCCCCAGCCTCAGGGACCCCAACACAACCACAGTCTCCTACTGCAGGGAGACCAACCAGGGCAGCCCTGCTGCTAAGATAGAAAATGCATTTAAAACTAAAGAGGCTATGAAAATGTGGTTCATTTCAGCAGTAGTTTTGAGCATGATGCCAGTGTTGAAGGGATCGCGGGTGCAAGGGCAGAGGCTCCAGGGTTTGTGTTTATTGTTATTCAGGAGCAAGGGGGTGAACGGCTGGAACTCAGGAAGAGGGTTTTCCTGGGTGAGTTTCTCCATAGCTCGGCCCAGGGAGCGGTCTGTCCTGCCCCAAGGCTATGTGCAATGCAGGGGGTGTTCTGACCATTTCTGCAAACGYAAACGTGAGGCATTCGGTGGTGATGGTGTCAGGTTGGCCTAAATGCAGTGTTTCAATATTGATCTTTTTGTTTCTGTTTTCTTTTTGGTTATTTATTTTTCTTAACTTGCTGAATGAAAACTTGTTCTGCAACTGCCAAAGTTCCCTGTTTCAGCTATTTAGACATTTTTTTTCCCCTTGATTTTATAAAGGGGTGAAAGTTGTCACAACCAGCCCTTTCCTATGCAGAGTTCTGGCCTTCAGGAAACAGGATTTCCCACCAGTTCTGCAATTTCTGCAGTTTTGCTGCTCTATCTCTGCACAGCCCTCGCAGCAGCCTGGCCTCAGCTTCAACTTTAGGGCCTCGGGTGGCTGCTCAGACCTGACCCACACTCTGCAGCCGCTTGGAAGCCAGAGGGCACAAGGACATGGGGGCGGGGGACAGCACCAGGCTTGCTGGACCTGGCAGTTATCCAGAGAAAGCTACTTAGGCAGGACTCAGCAAAAGGACTGGGAGGCTCTCCTCAGACTCGGAGGCATCTGGCCTTTTAAAATGATTTTTTGTTGTTGTTTGGTGCTGTCAGGCTTTCAAGAGCCAATAGGTGTTGTTAATCAAGTCTGCAGTGTCTGTATGTATCCATCTTTATGTGCCTCTGGCTTTCTCATCTGTGGTGCTGGTGTGTGGAGCAATGGGTTGCTTCAGTCTGGTTCATGCAGCTGGATCAAGTTTGCACAACGTTGTTCAGATCTGGCCTTTGCCTAAGGTGCTTCAGTAATGCGGACGCTTTGGTGCTTTAAGCCACAGATGCTCCCATTTATTTCCTCTAACGTAAATGCCAATCCTTGGGCAATGCACTGAACACCATAGCTTACAGGCAGGATGAATGTGAATTGCTGAAATCCAGCAAACCACGACGATCTCACATCCCTCTCCTGCTGTACTGGCTGATTCAAATTGAGTTTTGCCTATATCCCACATGCACCTGTTATTGAGGAGAATTTCTATCCCAACTGAAGGATGGAAGAAAAATATTTGCAGTCTAAAGCAACACAAAAGACTCCAGCATGGCAAATAAAACTCCATGGTGGTGTTTCTTCAGGAAACCACAGCAAGGAAAAGCCCCGCAGGCTGCTCACCGCTTATTCCCACAGCCCTTCTAAGGGGGCAGCCCTGCAGTCCAGCACGTTACGTAAACTCCCTTTTGGGGTAAATGCAGGGAGCTTCGTACACATACAGGGAGGCACAGGCAGAAGCTGAGTCTTTTGTTTCTGTTGCCCTGTGTTAATGTCCTCAATTTCCCAAATCAGGCTTTCTTAGTTGCTGAGATGACTGGACTGCAAAGGAGCTTAATTAGACACTCACTCAGTGAGTGAGGGGGCCCACATGAGCAGAACAACAGGGCAAGTTCTCCATTTTGCTGGAAAATGAACAGAGGCGCGAGGCAGCAGAAGCCCAGCSCCGGCGCCCAGGCGGACCCAGCTCTGTGACGCGCCTCGGCGCTGCGAGCGCAGCGCAGGGCGAGTGCGGCTGGGACAGCGCGGGCAGGAGCCCAGGCAGCAGCTGGGCTGGGGGCTGGTGCCTTTCAGACATCTGCAGTCGCAGCCGACC